GGATGGGTTGACAGTTATTTCATTTCAAAAGGGGGAGGGGTGAGAAGTTATTTTACGTTTAGTAGAGGGGGGGTTTAGCTTCAATTTAAGCCCAATTTGGAGAATTTTAGAACCTCCCCCCCCCTCTCCCGATAATTATTGCACAGTACCTTACAATAACTCTACAGTAATTCTATAGAGCGATTGGGATGAAGATGGAAAAAGTTGAAAAATCATGAGCTGGATATTTTTGATTATTTTTTCCAATTATCCCAAGATTTCGAATGAGATATTATAAAATTACAATTCTYTTGGGTACGAGATTGTTCACAACTAAACGAATCACATTCGTCGTAAMCGAGGAGAAAAACGTATGTGCATGCGTGAAATTATTGATGCTTTAAATCGATTTAGTACTGTCATATTAATTGAATTTTCGAAAGGGAACATAAAAAGAAACTTCTGACAAAGTTTTAAAAAACATAACATGAATTCAGTTTACACTAAGAAAAAGCGGTAAGTGTACATTTTAGACAAAAATTGTCAAGCACTATAAAATTTCACTATAATTCTCAACATTTTCCGAATCGTTTCACTTATATTCGTAAGAAGATGTATAATTTATGATTCCTGAAAAAAAAATCAAAAGCTTGATTACCACTAACGTTTTGCAATTTTTCATGGGAAGTTTTTTATCACTTCTTTTTCTTCAAACGTTGTAGATACGCTTATGTTTAAACAAGAATATCTCGAAAACGACCTCGTGACACCCCTTCGAGTTCTTTTATTTCCATATTTGTAATCAGCGTTAAATTTGGATTTAAAAATYCTTAATTCAAAAACGTTTTCATAGATTTTTTTCCTACTCACCGTTTGTGCAATCTGATCCAGTAAAACCAGGTTTGCATTCACATCGGTGTGTCCCATCAGCAAAGTTGAATCGGCATTTAAAGTTCCCTCCAACAGGGCACTTGCAATTATTCTAAAGTTTAAAGTAGGTAAGAATGTTTAAAGTTCAAATTACTAAAAACTTAAAAAGGAGGCGTAAGCATAACGAATGAACGTCTATTAATCCGGTCTATCACTGGTTCCCAAGAAACAAAACGTACATGCACAGTTATAACGCTCATCAGCTTCCTTTTAGCAAGCTAAATCTCCCAGTATTATCATGTTTTCATGGCATCCCTTTTAGATGGTTCGCTTTTCAAACCAATGAAACCATGAAAAATCCAGTGTTTTCCAAGACACTTATAATCAGATCTAGAGCTTTTTTACGGGGAAAAAAAACAACAAAACAATCGATACTCTTACCTGAGCAAATCTGTAGATAACACCAGGTCTGTCCACTAGATCTCCAGGATGCATAAAGTGATCCGAGTCACTCAGCTCACACATGTCTTTCTCTCCACTCGCACTTGTACCAAAGCTGTAGGAGATACATCGATCATCCAAATAACACTTTACGTCGCAATCTGAGTCATCTCTGGTTTTCTGTGTTTTGATGATATGATTGRCCAGAGCTTTGTTCAGAAGTTTATGAAACTTCATGACTTTGCAGCCACTTACTTCTCCTGTTTAAAACCCGTCACATTTTTAATTAAGTGAATCTTATGAAAATTTCAACGTTCACATCCTTTTCAAGTGCAGCTCAAGGCAAGGCAAGGCAAGGCAAGGCAAGGCAAGGCAAG